CTGTTACAACGATTTGGTGAGTCACGAATTTAATTGACTCGCGATACTGAGCACTTGTGTTTGAACTTGAGGTTTTTTTCGATAGTGAAAAAGAATAATAATTTGTTATCGTATCACGCAGAGCCACGAAGAACTTCAGTTGAATATCGCAGCCAAAGTAAACATTTACTATATCATTAACTAGTTCAGATAGTTTAAAATTAAATACGATTTGCTAAAAATGGAATTTTTCTGTCTAAATGCTATATAAGATTATAAAAATTTTGAGAAACTTTCCGCACAACTTTTCCTCCGTCATCCTTTCTTTCTTGTTTACGTAATTGAAAACAACGGATACGCCGATGAATCGACGATGTGACCAGTAGCCCAGAAACTTTTTGAAAGTACGTTCTTTGCTTTTCGAGAATGAGACAATTTGTTCTCGAACGGCGAGATTCTTTTGTCCAACAATCATCAATTCAAAGTATTTTTCCATTTTATCGTTAAATGCGCGGAATAACTTACTCAGCCAATTCTTCGCCGTTCTACTATCTGCATTTTAAATTCATTCGAGGAGCCTTTTGAATTCGAATCGAAATGCAATTGTGATCGACTACGGCCGTAATTAACATACCCTTTGCGTTGGAGAGTGAATCATTAACCGTGAGAGGTAACTTCATTGCCACTGATTCGTTTACCTAGTCCACCATTTGCTTTTAACGCTACTTTCGAAACCGTGGGTCACCCTCGAAAACTACCACCCTGCCCGCAAAGAGAACTACCCTTTTACCTCTTTTATAATTGCGAAATCAAATGACAGCGTCGTACCTTCTTTATACTTGAGTGTATTGTCTCATCTTTCATTCACTGTCTTGCTGCATGAATAAAAAGAATGCCAATTATTTAAGCTATTGAAGTTCGGTCTTCATTCATTAATGACTCCGAATTTTAGGCATTCATTGGAAAATTTAATGTGCAAAAAATATTAAAAAAAACGCATTTGACTTGCGAGAATATGCATTTACATAATGCTCTTCGCTTGAATAGTCTTGAATAAATATTGATATACATACATTCGTTTGCGTTAAGTGAAGGAATTTTATTGAAAATTCTTGGTAGTTGGATACGTCTGCATTATAAATTAGTAAATGACATTAGTTATGACAGTAGACTTATGTTGATGTACACACTTGGAAAATACGTTGTTGTTGGAAATATTACAGACTTCTGAGCCGATGTGACTTCACATGAATAGTCTCAAGTGTTTGGACACAGTTAATTGATGCTTAGCGATAAATCAGAGAACAAATATTTACAAGAATTCTACATTTCATAATTTTACATATCTGTGTTGTTCTAATCATATTATCTACAATTTTCTACGAAAAACTAATATGGAATATTCGCGGTTACCAAAGTGAACAGCATTGAATAATAAAATTTTTTAAATTGACTTATTACAGTGGAACTTGAACAGGCCTACATACCTTATCATTTTATACTGGAATATCATGAAGATACTCGAATTAAAGGTGACTATCTTTTTAATTATAACATCGCTTTGCAGTGGTAAGTAAAATACTAAAATTCAGTCGTTTGGTCCAATTTTGAAAAAGTTATTTAATTTTATATAGCGTGTGTTCAGATTTACTCTTAACTACAATTCTTGCATTAGCATTCCTGGTATTGCGCTTACTATAATCATTCTAATTTTACATATTACAATTTTTTAAAAGTAAAACAAATCTTAACTCACGTTTTATTACTTAAACTTATATCAGATAAAAGCTTTATTTTACATGAAGATCCCCGTCGTGATCGTGCCAATAACATAATACTAATTATTCAGCATAAAATACTAAACAGTTTAAAAGAGGAAACTGACTTACCTGTTCAGCGGGAGGGGACGATCTCGCTGATCCAGCGATCGATGAGAGACGGCGGGTCTCCCAATTTCTCTTGAACGTGTCTCATAAATACACCACCGAGTCGAACTATCCCTCGTGCGGTCAAGTCCACGTGGACTTCACCAATGGTTTCACACCGGCTTTATTGTTTCATTCACCGGAATATATTATTAGAAAATAGTAAATAAATATCTCGTGAATGACAGTACACAAATTCTAGTAAAAAGCTTCCCTGACAAGATACAAAAATAAATTCGACTCCGGAGGGCAACGATCATCGATCAAAACCCGAGTTTCAATTCGTCTTCTCAAGCGTCGAAGGACAGTCGCATAATTCAGCTCGCGCACGGTTCCGTTTCCGTATGGAAGTGGCCGATGTCCGTGAGATTTACCTTCACCCCGGTTCCGTTATCGACCAGTGGTCCCTGGGTCACGGTTAATTCGGTGGGTACGATTAATTGCGAAACGCAAGTTTCAGTGAATGGAATTGAAATTTTCGTAGGACCGCGTCAGGCGAGCTCTAAGTCTGTCATGGCTTGAGTCGCGGGGCAGCTGCGACGTTCGACTTCGCGGAGCGCTGGACATTAACTAAATCCGATCGCGCGACACGGAGCGAGCACCCACCTACGTACGTATATACGACGTCCTTCGTGCGATAGCGGACCGCGCATCGTCGGAACGTGCCTCGATCCATTGCTTCTGCGCGAGGTTTCCGTCGTTCCGCCCGCGAGAAGTCCGCGATCAGCCGTGCTCGAGATAACGGAGGAATACCCCCCGCCTCGATCACCCGTAGACCGATTTTTCCGCCCGATTCCGAGCCGCGGGGCGAGTTACATTGATAAACATGAGATTTTCTAATCCACACTATCTCTGATTGAGCGACGCATTTAGAGAGATAGTTAACTTGGAAATATTTTTATAAAAAAAATACGAAATTGTATATATTGTACTACAGGACTAAAGAAAATAAATAATATGTTGTACTACATAATATAGATTTAAGGTCAGCTCATGTCAAAATTTTTGCTCACTGACGTATTTCTCTATAATTTTGTTATCTTATTGTGACGTGAATAGAAATTAGAATAATTACCTTATCCTCACATTTTTTTTAATGTATGTAAAACAATCATCATTACTTGAAATGATTATTGAAAATAAATGAAATGAGTAAAATCAATGATAATCTTTTATCAATTTTCCTTATCGTATCCTCAGGAAGTTTGTGTACAAGGTAGCCTAAACTTACAGAGGAAATTGAACCCTATGAGGTCATGCTTCAGAGAATGAATCTTACAATTAGATGCCTAATCACATAGGAATGTGTTTAATTGTGCTTCCCTTAAAACCAACAATAAAATAAACAAATAATAAGCAATAAGTCAAATATTCCAATTTCTACTCACTAACTTATTTTTCTATAATTTTATGTTATCTTAAAATGAGCCAGTGAATACAATTTCTTTTATATGTCATTTTAAAATTATAGAAAGAGTAGGAATTGTTATGTGAACAAATTGATCACTTTATCAACTGATTACGTTATGTTATTAATTCTCTCATATCAATTTCCTTTTAAATTCTCTTAACCTTCACATTGGATTTTTAAGTACGATAGTTTTGATATTGGATAGAATTGATACAATACACCAGTGTTCCTCAAACTGTGGTATGTGTACCACTAATAGTACATTACGTTATTTTCGGTGGTACAATTTTCCTATCTCGTTTCCTTCTTTCGTGACAGAAATTTCACAAATTAATTAAAAAGATACACTTCCTGGTTAAAAAGAAAAGATGAATACAGTATATTTCCGAATGTGATACAATTTTTAATATCCTTCAATTTTTATGAAACCAGATTTTCAACTACTCATCATTTCATCAACACTTCATTTGGGATGTATTGATTTTTTATTCGGCAAATGCTTTTGATTCTTATTTACGTGGTACAAAATTTAAAACGATTGAAAACCGCTGCTATAAATAATATCGCAGATGTAGTTCGTCGTACGTGCAACGCAGAGATAAGACAATACGAGAACTTATCAGTAGGGAACATTTAATGGCTAGGCTGAATGAATGAAAATCATTTGAAACAACATTCGAATTTTTGTCCTCAAATTTTATTTAACAACAGCAAGGATAACAAATAACTAGATTATGGATTTTATGGATTTGTAGAAAAACTCGATGTGCAGAAAATACAAAGGATGCATTCGACGTACAAGAATTAACATAATACATATGTATACGATTATGTACACGTTACTGTTTGCAAGTATAAAAGAAATCGTCATTTATGTTTATTTTAATTTATTTTTTTATTAATTAAATTAATATCGCAAAAGTTTTATTTTGTATAAAAATACGTAATCTACAACTGACGCAGCACAGAGCTGGCTGACTAAGCACGTGATTACTCTACTTCCCTGCGGCTAAAGAGAAGAGGAAAACCTGGAAAACCTAACAAACACACTCCCGATAATTACAAGTATTGCAATAGACATGCATGTTCTCGCTTTTTTTTCAATATAAGTTAAGCAATCGTCAAAGTCTTAAACGATTATCGAAAATAAATTTTATAAAGTGGTTTTATTGATGAAAGTCGCGGCAGTATCAAAATGAGTGACACGGAGGGTATAACAGGCGACGTGCGACTACTAATTGCTCGGTTCGTGCTCGGAACGTGATACAAAACAAACAACGGATCTCCCGAGAATATCGCTGGTCTAAGACGTGTTAAATCCGATTTACGGGCAGCGAACACACGCAGCAGATCCCGGTATCAGCAACCATGGATTCACGTCAATTTGAACTTCTCGCCAATCGTAAATTGCGCAATCATTCTGTGAACTTATTAACTCTCTCATGCGCAGACATTTGATCAAACAGATTTTACAATGGGCTGAGACAAAGGAGCTGAGAGGATTAAAAATACTGCGAAACACGAGTCAACCCTTAAAAACAAACGTTTGATTTCTCAAAGTTTTATTTTATAGAATGTTACATGCTAAAAAGATCGACTACGGGTAACGTCTCGATACGTTTCAATCGTCGTTTCGAGTGGTGGCTCTTGTCAGATAAGCCGACCCCTAAGAATTTTCCACATGTTGTCTATTCACCGAATCTCCGGTTCTATTTTATTTTTTATTGGTCAACAACATTTTTCTTATCGTATTGTCTTCCACACGTGATCAGTCCTTGAAAGGCAGATGCTCGTCGCAGGGATAAAAATTATATCATCGACGAGATAACAGATCTTAGAAGCAAAAAAGAATTCTATTCTCGACACTTAATTTCGTGTTGACGTAAAAAAAAAAACGTCTGACAGATAAGAATTTCGATTATCGGAAGATAAATTCAGGCAGTGCACAATGGAACAAAAATAAAATTCTAGAATAAATTCATCAGATTTGTTTTACTTTAAGGATGTATAGGCTATATACTTAAACAATGCCAACATGTTGAATTTGTTATTATAGATACCTATTACTATTAAAGAGCTATCAGCAAAATTTTAAATCAATTCATGGGTATTTTCAAAAATTATAGTGACTTAAAATTTGCATGTACTCTTATGGTAATACGTAGATTTTGAGAAAAAAAATCGTTTTTATTTTTCCGAGATTTTTTCAAAGGGGTACACCTTCAGATTTTCGAGATTTTCGTTTTTCGTCAATAACTCGTTAACTATTGGCACTAGCGAATTCTTTTTGCAGAGAAATTGTAGATCTCGTCGTTCCCTACAAAATGAGCGTACATACGTCCCCCTACGTCCATCCGTTCGGGAGTTATTGAGGAAAAACGAAAAGTCTTTTTAAAAGTTCACAGATTCTTCGGGCGAATTGCAGAATCTGAAGGCGAATTCGCCCGTAGAATCTGTGAACTTTTAAAAAGACTTTTCGTTTTTCCTCAATAACTCCCGAACGGATGGACGTAGGGGGGCGTATTTAGAAGCATTTTGTAGGGGACGACGAGGTCTCCAATTACTGTGCAAAAAGAATTCGCTAGTGCCAATAGTTAACGAGTTATTTGCAAAAAACTGTTTTTCTGTTTTTTGCCAATAACTTCGATACGGATGGACTTAGGGGGACGTATATAAAACCACTCTGTAGAGGACGACGAGATCTACAATCCCTGTGTAACAGTTTCTCGCTAGCATCAATAGTTCACGAGTAATTTGCAAAAACCTTTTTTTTCTTTTTTTGCAAATAACTCGTTGACTATTGGCACTAGCGAATTCTTTTTGCACAGAAATTGTAGATCTCGTCGTCCCCTACAAAATGAGACCACAAACGTCTCCCTACGACTATCCGTTCGGGAGTTATTGACGAAAAAGGAAAAGTATTGTCCAAAGTTCGCTGAATTCGACGATGAAATGGTCGAATTTCCTTCAGATTTTGTAAAATTTCGTTTTTCCTCAATAACTCCTAAACCCTGGGAGATACGCGAAAATTGCATACGACCTTTCTTGTAGATCAGATCGTCCTCTACAAGAAACTCACCCTAACGTCCCCCCTACGTCCATCCGTTCAGGAGTTATTGAGGAAAAACGAAAATCGCGAAAATCTGAAGGCTAACCCCTTTGGAAAAATGTCAAAAAAAAAAAATTGGTTGTTTTTCGCGAAATACACGTATTAGTCATTAGAATGCTTTAACCCAAAGTTCTTTTGCTTCCAGCTGCAATATTTAACGAGTTATTGGCATTTTATTGACATTGGCGAAATTCGCCCGTCGAATTCAGCGAACTTTTGACATCAATTTCGTTTTTCGTGAATAACTCCCGAACCGATGGTCGTAGGGAGACGTTTGTGGTCTCATTTTGTAGGGGACTCGATTAGATTCGATTGCGACGTTGAGTAAAAGTTCGGAACAATAGGAAAGTTGTTCAGTAGCGACGAGAATCGCTTATCTAATCGAGAAACAAGGCAGACGTAATAGAAACTAAAAGAATTCTTACCTCGGATAATGGCCGATGAGAATACTGATTGAACATCAGAAGGCCACTCGATTCCTCTGGAACTTCACGTGCCGGCTCCATCTTCTCTGAATATTAATAATCGTCGAATTCTTACGGTCGTTTGCGAAGGACAGACCAACAATTTCTACTTCCTCTGATACTTGTTCGACTGTACAGAGAACGCGCGATTTGCCAGACGATTAAACGAAAATGATTAAAGTCAGATCCATGACGATTGTGCCGCGAAGAGGCGGAGGCACAGAATGTTAATCTTCCCAGCGAGAAACGTGTTTACGGTGTGTGAAACGAGCATGCACCAGTCGAATGATATACTCGACGAGCACGTGCGATTATTCGATTAGCGTGAATCACGACGCTAACTATTGTACTAAATTATGATGACAAACGAAGCTGTTAATAGTGCTAATTAAAGTTTCAAGAGGTCTCTTATGAACAGACTGCCGATTTGTAGAAAAAATATTTCTGCAGAATATACACGCGCGCGTGTGTGTGTTATACAAAATATAGACATATATTATTTTCGAGGTTGCAAGTATCAAGGTTGCACTTTTCATAAAAAAAAACTCGCAAGCTACTAGTGAACAATCGAAATTTCGCAAATTGTGTTCTTTTTGCGACGTGAATTTAAATTGATAAAACCGTTCGAAAAACACTGTGACTCGAGCCGGTTGTTACAGATTATAATTACAATGCGTACGGAGCGTAATTATAGTAGATATAATTAACAGACAACTTGCAATGCTTGAACTTTGTAACAACATTTTGATAAAACCAACAACTGTGTTCTGATAATTAAAATCGCGTACGTCTGTACACATGAGAACTGTACCGATCAATTTTTATACTCGTATCAAATAAACTTTCCATTCTTAAGAATCGATAGCACTTTGTCCGGTAACGTTCCGATATCGATGACCCCGATTCTCCAAGAAACGATGAATCCCTAGTGGAAACGATACACTTTCATTATGTGAAAACCCAGATAAATTACTCGATTATAAAAACGAATTACAAATACATGAAACAAAATGAAATGTACAAAGATAGAATAACATTTATGAAGGTTTAAAACATATCGAAAGAATAAAAGACAAATCTAACTTTATTATACAGGGTGATCCTTTGTATGTAATATGCAAATATTGGACTAAAAAATAAATACAGAACATTTCTACGTCTCTTGGTACTTAAAAAGATTTTGCGGGCAGGCTGCTGAAAGACAGAACGTATAGTCACTGTAACTATACTTTTCATAAATCAACTTTTGGGATTGACTATATAGCCAATACATCCTTAACACGGTACGTGCTATGTTAAACGATAGTTACTTACCTATACATAACATTGTGAAATGAAAGACAAAATATGGAGTAGACTGGTCTGAAGTAGAAACGTCCTGTACAACGCGACCTGGTCAGTGATAACTGACAGTGCTAGTCAGACATAGTTAAGTTGGAGGCAACCGAGTATACGTTGATGTTCGAGATCTGCCAATCGCAGGGGCATGGAACGTCAATAAACAAAACTTCTGTTTTATCACTGGGAATATTCACACGAACGCGGTCGACGTTTAAAATAAAAAAAAATACTTTGAAATTTCCACTACAGAGATCTCTGGCTCTCCTCAATTGTTTGATCAATGCACGCTGCAGCAAGGCAGCAATGGTACTATACAGTATCATTGCAAAATTCTGTCATTCCACATAAGAATTCAAGATGTAATAACGTTTCTGATAGGATCGCAAAATTTCTAACACTTCGCACAGTGTTTTATTAATGTAATATCTAGTAACTGTTAAAATTTCAATGCTTTGTCATTGTCTTTATGTAAAGGTTCATACAACTTTAACGACTGTTTGCTCGTCGAACGTAATTAAATTTCGTAAAATAATTGGATAACGATAAGTCTTGACCTCCGCTTGGAGTACGAAATTCCGAACGAATGCTCACAATATTACTTATAATTACATAATTGATCATATTTTTCCTCATACGCCCGTACAGCGATAAGTATTATATATCTATACATATAGTTACTTTGACGGAGGGTATAAAAGTTCTTACGAATCTCCAAAGAAACGTATTGTCGATTCTGTGATCAGCAAAATGTCACGTTACATCGCTTTTCTCGTTCTCCTCGCCGTCGTTTACTTACGTAAGTTGTTTTTCGTTTACGAATATTATTCTCAGTGTTCTTAAATTCAATATTCGTTTAGTGGGTAGCATCGACTGTCATCAGATCAACTGTCCACCCAACGAAGTCTTTAAATCCTGTGGAACCGCTTGCGAGCCCACGTGTAATGTACCGCAGCCGGAAATATGTATTCAAGTTCGTATCGAGAGGTGATACCACGTCGTATTAGACTGTTCCCGTTATCGTTTATTCTTCTTCTTCAGATGTGCATCGTAAACGTGTGCCAGTGCATTGAAGGGTACGTCAGAAACTCTGCGAAGCAATGCATCAAGCCTAACGAATGCTAATGTTTCGTTCGATGTAAATTCAATTTTCCAAGAGATACAATACAATTTCCAATGAGGATGCTTTTAAATAAACAGACGTTCATCAAGTATTTTCATTTGTGTCAAGTATTTTTACTCCGTCCGAATTGAATCCTTCGAATTCTTTCTGAAACTTATTAATCCCTTCCTTCGAATTCATCCTAGCTTTTAATACTTACGCCATGTTAAATAATATCCTCGAGATAGACATTATTTCGATCTTAAAATATTTTTACATCATGTATTAAGAAATATACAAAATTCTGTCATTGAGGGATTCATATTTTTTGATAAATGAAATGAAAATACTGTATTTTACGATGTTATTAGTTTGGATACATTGAACAAAATTTCCGTAATTTCTCTTTATACACGTTCGATTGACAGTGGAATTCACGAAGAGCCACTTTAATACGGAACGAATCGTAAATTCGAAAAGCGAACCGCAACAGTCGATTTGATTCGACAGGTGCATCGGAGACACGGGCTAACGCGGCACGCGACAAGATCCCGAGGATCGAGAGCGTGTACGCGTGTCTATACACGCGAATGGGTACCCGAGGCACCCGCTTCAGTTCAATCTTATCGCGCGGTCCGCTAACATCTCCCGTGTGAAGTGCATGTACCGGTTACCTGAGATTTAACGACGTTCCACGTCGAACGAAATCTCGATAGTGCGTGAAGTTGCGACATCAGGCGGAGGAACGAAAAATTCTGATTCGAGTCCAAGGGAACTCGATCGCTCCGTACGACTTTCGAAACACTAAAAAGTCTTAGATGTATCAGAGAGGAAGACATAAAAAAAATATTCATAAACCTCTGTGAGATCATTGAGAAATCTCAGTTTAGCAATGGACTTTTAAAATGTTTACAAACGAAGTTCATTCGCAAAGAATAAAAAAAGATATGCAGTTTTACAATCAAATCGACTATAACAAATATCGTCCGAATTCCATCGAGAAATCGTTATCGACTGTATCAGATAAACGCTGAGCGTATCGGTAAGCTCAGTTAACAAGAATCAGTCATCGGAGTGGCAGTCTCTGAAGACAGTCAGACAATAGATTTTTAAAGTTCTTTAGAAAAGTTCGCTTGAAATAAAAACGATACGAAGTGACACGTTCAACGTTAATGGTTTCATCCCCTACAGACCAGAAACCAATGGTCTCGGGAAGTGACAGCTCGCACGAAACAGTTGAGTGCACTTATCACCAATTGAATTACTTATAAACACAGACAGATAAAAATTCATCGATTCAGTTTGTGAGGACTGTCCAATGATTATTGACAAAATGTTGGTGTCGCCTAGCATGAGTTGTGGCCTAGTGGTGGCCGGTGTCGCTTCCGGAATTTGTTTTCTTATCTACATGAATATTAAAGGGTGAGTAAATAAATTTTTATACTTCACACGTGTCGAATTTATAAAAACTGAAAACCTGTCAGGCTTGGCATAGAATAAATTAATAATGAACGTGATACGTTTCATTGATGTAACAATGATAGATAATAATTGATGTATCGATGTATCTAATCATCGAACAATATCGCCTTTACTCAATCTTTTAATTAAATATAGAGTAAAAAGATGTTATAAATGAGTCACTAAAAACGTGTCCGAGGTTTCTGCGTAACCATGTTTAAAAATCGTATAAATAAATATTAATGATAATGTTTCTACGACAGGAAATCTTGACCTTCAGCATAAATTGTAAAAAGAGAATTAAGATCATACATGATTAATAGAGGAATGTATACGCGGCAGGGAAGTAGGTCGAACACCGTGAGTTTCAGCTATTAATTCGAATCCATTTTATAACCAGTTCCATCAAGACCACCGTCACTTTTTCCTATGAACCGCGCTTTTCTTAACTCGCGTTTCCACCTCGTCGGTTCACCGAAAAAAGAAGAGTTCGCTTTCGAGCCTTGAAGATATCGCGGACGGTCGTTAATGACGCGTGACGAGCCGAGCGGCATGCTTCGTTTGTTTGTGATGCACTTTGGACAGCCTCCTAGCCGTTTCTTCTTCGTCTTGAACGATCTTACTTTTTAACATTCAAATTAATGGCATCGATTATCGGAGCCTATTTTAAAATTTCAATACCGCGTCGGACTCTAACTTAGTTGCTTTCACAATGGATTTTATAATCATTCTCCAGATTAAATTCCATTCAACGAAATACTGTTTTGGAATACTAATATCTCAATGTGTATTCAAATCGATGCCATTAATAAATGATCAGAAGAGGCTGTTACGTTATTTGGAATAAAATTTGCATAAAAGATAAAATTCTGTCATCGAGATTTATCATAGTGGTTCACCTGATCAACTCTACATACCAATGTCATATGGCCAAGACAATTCGGCCATTTTGAAATTAAATTTAATTTAAAATTAATTAAATTGAAAAAATTCTCACGTCTTCATCCACGTGATAAATAACAAAAAATGTAATGAACTTGAAAAATAATTTCTACTGATGATCTACTATTACAAACAAACTAATCGCGTGGATTAACATTCCTTAGTGAGCGATTAATCTCGCTCAAATGTAAGTGGAACAAGTGAAACAAAAATTGCAGATGAAAACCGTTAGATAACTGATAGAACCAAGGCTACCTGTTATCTGCATTCGTATGAAACATACGTTTATTTTGTAATACAGAGCGACGAGAATTGCCAGGCGTAAGATGGCGTGAAAAATTCTAAACAAATCCCATTTCGATTTAAATCTCCTCATTAAACTTTTTCTTTCAATGTCAAATTAAACTATTCTCATTAATAAACATTGAACATTGATTTAGCATAAAAAAAAGTTAAATCATAAGGTAATAAATTTACATATACACAGTGCAAAGTCATCAGTTTTAATATACATTACGACGATTATTACAATTTTTTCCATTTTAATTTTCAAGTTCTATAGAACAAACAAAAACGTGATAAGTTCATAGGGTGAAATTCAATTTATCTGCCTGCACGTGTTCATTTTTGTGAAATCTATCGAGTGTCCATGAAAACTCGCTGGCTCTCGAACTTCAGTCCCGTTCCTCTGATATTAAGGAGAATTCGGTGAGAGGAGAAGCGAAGACAGGAGGGTTGAGGCTGGTTTTTTAACGATCCCAGCCGGAATTTCTTCGTTCCACGATATAAAATAAAACGAGGATGTTTCGTGTTCGCGGCCGAAGTAGTCCGGCCAAAGGCCTCCTCGTTTCTCTGTCCCGCGAGATCTGCATACTTACATATACGCACATATGCGTCCGATGCGTTGCACGAAATATCAAAAGGATTGAACATGCTTAAAAAATTATTTTTACACTGATCCAGATGAACAAATATTTGTGGTATTCTTAATTATTGTTCAATCATCGATTCGTTTGCCTTCCTCATACACCAAATATTGACATTGTACTATTGCAAAAATCCATTTCGTTCAACAAGCCATTATGTTCTAACGAATTTGTTGATCTTATTTGTTAACAAATGTTCCTAATTTTTGCGACACGCGTGTGGCCGTGTTTATAAACGAGGATGAAAATGTATAGGTGACCGTGTGGAGTTCGGTATGCAGGACTTGGTTTTATTTACTCTCTCTCTTGTTCACTGACCAGTCTGACGGGTGTCGTTCACGTTCTCCTTTTTTCGTTTTAGCACGCGGTAAATTATGTCTCGGGCCGATTTCGGTATGACGAAAATCCAGTAGAACCGTGGAAATCGGTTCTCTGAATGAGCTAGCATCCTTTAATGAAGTTTTCGCTCTACTATGTTAGTCAAGATAAAATTTTTGAAGTCGATTTTCACGAAAACTCCGGATGAAAAATGTTATACCAAAATATTTTCTTCTTTTTTAACGTAGAATCACCCCCTGCCCGGTTGTACTACGATTTCCTGCCCACCCTGTACGTAATTAATACAAAATAATAATGCAGTGAATTTAAATAATTATTTTCGCTTCGACGGTCAAATCAAACAAGCAAAACTTATAGTGAATGTTACGTCAAAAAATGATGAAAGAAAAATAAATTGCTAGAATTGTAGGAATACGTAGAAACTAGCAGATTCCTGGCGAAAGAATCCAATTGTCCGACATATCTCCTATTATCCCAAACAACCGCAAGAGAGAAAAATCCGACAACTTAATCCATCAAATGTACAAGGTATCCACGAAGCCAGCAAAAACGGAATCTGAGGCAATATTTCAACCACGGGGACAATTTTCCCGCGGTGCAATTGCATTCCGTGATTACGTTCCTTTCGTAACGGCGTTACGCGCAATCTTAATTCCGCCTAGCGGGAACTTTCGAGCGGATCCGCGTACGTTCCTGCGTTTAATAATTCAGAACAGATCGATATCAGCATCGGCCGTAGCCGCCGTGGCTGTGTAAGTACGTGTGCCAACGACTTAACGAGCGTTTATTGTTCCCCGTCGTAAGTCGGTGTAAGTGTGACCCAGATGAAGAAGTAATTTCTTAACGAACCAAGTGAACCGGCTCTCGCGCGCCGCGACAATGGTCCCGCGTGAGAAGAACCACCGCGCAGATTGTGAGAGAGGTCGAACACGGAAATAAACTTGTGCGAAAATACGATCGGACCGCGATCCCCGACATTTTTCAATTATTCAAACATCGCTTCGTAGATTGTATACGAATAGAAAGGCGCAGTCATGTTAATTAAAATTTCACAGACTCGTTTGACGTCTGTTCACAGGCTATGCTTATAAAGAATGAGATCGGCTAAGAATAATAGGTTTAGATATAGGGGGACAGTTTCTATGTATTTTATAACGAAATACGAACAATACTTTCTTACGTTTTACGACTATTTATTTTAAATATGTGCCATTTTATTCGATGATCTGCTATACTTTTGGCAGACCTCATTGAAGTCATCCTAAGACTGCGATTCTTGGATGAAGAACTGCGACAAGTGGTTTTTACAGGCTTATTTGGAACTGTACTTTATTCAAAGAATTCTGAAATGAACGAAAGAGATACCAGTTGGTGCAATATCCGGGCTGTATGGTGGATGCATCGAAATTTCCCAAAAAAACTCTGTTTTTAGCGAGTCGTCAAAGTTGTGTCTGATGTCGTTCGTGATGAAGGATGTTAAGGATGTATTGGTTATACAGTCAATCCCAATAGTTTATGCACTTTAGAAACGCATTTTTTAAAAAGAATTCAGACGTCGGAAGAACATTGCTAATAATAAACAACAACAAAAAATTTTCGATTTTTCCGAGATTTTTCCAAGGGGTACCCCTTCAATTTCTTCCAAATTTTCGTTTTTTGCCAATAACTCTTAAACCGTTGGAGATACGGGAAAATTGTATCAGATCTTTCTTGTAGAGGACGACGAGATCTACAATTTCCATGTAAAAATTTGTTGCTAACATCAATAGTTTACGAGTAATTTGCAAAAAACTGTTTTTTCGTTTTTCGTCAATAACTCGTTAACTATTGATGCTAGCGAAAAACTTTTATATGGAAATTGTAGATCTCGTCGTCCTCTACAAGAAAGGTCCTATGCAATTTTCTCGTAGATCAAACGGTTTAGAAGTTATTGAGGAAAAACGAAATTTTTTTCCAAAAGTTCGCTGTTTCGACGCTGGAATGGTCGGATTTTGTCAACATCAATAAAATGCCAAATAATCATATGTAACTCATTAAATATCGAAATTAGAAGAAGAATGCACTATTTTTAATTATAGGAAATGCGTTTTTCTAAGGTACATATACTTTTGGAATTGACTGCATAGCCAATACATCCTTAATCAATTCTGGTCGTTTTGTAGATAGTTTAAAACTTGTGTTCGAGTTTTAGTTCCATCGCGACGTCGAATGATAATTATTGAAATTGATAACTTTTTTAAATGGTCCGTAAGATTTCTAAAATTTTGTACAGTGTTTCAGAAGTGACCTTGAGTGGTGAATTAATATCGATCGGAGCGGTTCAATTTCATAAATGAAGCGCCCATCGTATAAATTAACCGCGACGACTTTAAATCAATCAGAAAAGTTACGCAAACCGTTTGGCCACGTTGCGCATAGATCAAAAGTTATGTTTGGAGAAAGTCTAGACGCGGGAGATTAATTTGGCCAAGGCGAAATAAACTTTCTCTCATATCATAGATTACCGAAATTATCAATATCAAGGGTATCAGAGATTGAAAAGCTGCGTCGGGATAATCGATCAGAGACGAATCCGGGCGGAAAATTCGTGACGATTAAACGACGCGTTCCCACCGGGAATTTATATCTGTAATTACGAGCTAGGAAATTAACGCTGAAAATTTAGTGCACGAATCGTTCGTGATGGAACGTGTGTTTTAATCGTAATGCAGGCGTGGTGTTGGATATTCAGGATTTTAGGAGAATCGTTTCCCA